ATTTCGCAATTTCTAAACTCCAGAGTTTTATGCCGCAACATGAGCTTTGGTGCTCTGAATGGAGGATCGCCATAAATGCTGAGAAGTCTAATCTCATTATCATCAAGAAAAAGAGAATGAACACTCCTCTTGCTAAACAGTTGAAATTATTCGGGACTGTCGTGCCCATTGTAAACAAGGCCATGTACCTCGAAGTCAAGTATATCTCCAACTTTCAGTGGAAAAACCACATAAATTACGTCAGAAGCAAGATGTTGTGGGTAATACAATGCCTCACTCCCCTTCTTTCTTCGGACTCAAAGCTGGATTTACGACGCAAGAGACATATTTACATTTCGATTATTCACCCCATTTTTGCCTATGCGTCACCCGCCTAGGCTTCTGTCCATAAAAGGGAATTAAATAAGTTACTCAGAATGATGACCAGAGCTCATTACTTTGTTTCAAATCAGACGCTTCATAGGGACTTAAAACTTAAGACAGTGGAAGAGCATTTGCATAAAATGAAGGCAAATTTCTTGAAAAAAGCGCAAGACTGTAGTCACATGGGTAACTTGAATCTGTTCAAGTTTATTGTTCTTGAGGAGGACTCCATTTATAGACCGCTCGCGGCCCACCTCACTCGGGACTCGAATTTTCCCACTTAATTATTTTCACCGTCTTGCATATATATTATTACTCTCCTTATGTATTTCATATTGCAAACTTGTATTCCAATTTGTCGTATTTATTGTAATTTTGTATGTTATTTTATTTTGCATACTGTGTCACATATTGCATATAGCCTCGTATTTAGTTATTTTATTAATCTCATTGTAATCTTTAATTATGTTTTGTATTACTTGTCTTTGTTTTTCTATGCTTCAACGCAAACATACACCACAGTATACCTCACTGCTCCTAAATCTGGCTTATCTCGTATTCTGGCTTTTCTTCGGCTCTGTGACGCGTGGTCACCCCCCCTTTTTACCACCTTAATGACTTTACTGACTTTTTTAAAATGATTATCATCATGTGTCCATTGGGCTTTGCTTCATGGGCCGGGCACATCGTGCCTTGCGCGATATCCCGGCAATACTAGCGCGGATAAGGATAAGCTGGCTATTGTTTCTTGTGGGGCAGTTGGTACTAAGGAAGAGGTCTTCAATTAAATTTCGAGCAGTTCGTATCCTACCGATCCAAATACAAGCCTATCGTCAATTTTGTTTCATACCTCTGTTTACAGAAATGAAAGATTGTTTTGATTACTTACAATAAAGCAATGATTTTCTATTTAATTGTTATAATAGGTTACACTAGTAATATCAACTTTCAAAGTAAGTTGGATTTTTTCTGTTAGCAGGATACAAGCTATAATTGTGCATCAAAATGCCAAATTTGGTAGCTTGTTTATATTGCATCATAAACAGCTATGCCATGAGAATGTCAGTGCAGATAAATACATAAGAAGAAAGAACATCAATCCAGTAAGTAAATTACTGGCTGCTTAACAGTAAATTCTATTGATATAAAATCTGCTAAACTGATCAAATTTCTGGATGAACGACCTGTCTGCATGGTCGTTTTCGTGCATGTGTAACCTGGATACAAGCCATTTTTCCTTAGAAAGACCTTCACAAAAGTATCCCTTCTTTTAGGCAGATAATCCCCCCTGGGGGTCGACGTAGAGAATTCTGCGAAGCTACTGGCTAGGATCTGTACCTAGGCAGTCTCGGCCACGGGGGTATAAAATTTATGAACTTGGTGGTTCTGAAGGCTCTGGGAAAGGTCACTTATTGGCCGGCCCCGGAGTCTGGCACGTTCTAGCGCGGCGTGGTACTAGTAACCCGAGGGTCTCCCCCGGGGTCGCTGGGTAATGTCCCGCTGCGACGGGCTCGCCCAAGCGACTGGTAGGAGCATTAGACGACTGGTGCTGCCTGGGGTACTTCCCCAGGTGGCGCGCTGCTCTCCTGGAGGGTAATAGTGGAGGTTGAACCACCCCGATGTGCCCAAAGGGGGAGTGGACCCGGAATGAGATGAGTTCTCGATACGGGGAATGCCCAAATCTTCTTCTTCTTCTTCTTTAGGCAGATAAGACCTCGCGTGCTTGGTAAGGTGGAGCAAGAAAACATTTTTTTAAAAAATCATATTGCCTGAATTATTATATGGTTCCAACTGGACTAGAAGAAACTGTGCTCAAATTTCAGCCCAAAACATTGACATCTTGAGGTTCCGCACCTTTGAATATCTGTATTGACTTCTTTAACAGTTTTATACTTTTCTTTTTTCATGAATTACTTTGTCAGAAACCCCATTAGTAGCACGAGAAATTATTTCTCACACCAAAACAAAATTGAAAGTCAAAATATGCTACTAGATGCTAGAACGAGTTCTAATCTGAATATTGGTTCTAGCTTCGGGTAAGCAGTCACGTGGCTTCCGTGACCTTTCAATGACTTTTTATTGTTAATTGGTTGTTCGGTGTGTTTTGTCAATCTTGCTTTATCATTCATTGTCTGTGTTGAACTAAAATAGGGTCAACTAGAAGTGCATCTTTTTTAGATCTTTGTTGGTCACACACTGCATTGGTTTGCATGCTTGTTGCACACCAATGAACAGTCTCTTCGTCGTCTTTTTCAGAAGATTGATGGAAATGCATCTGGACCACGACCACAACAATTTTCTGAAAAAGTAGGAAAAATCCATGAAAACACGTGAAAACCTTCCCGTGACAGTTTATGACCCTATTCCAGTTGATCTATCCGAAATTGACAAAAAAGATCTCAGTAGTGCGTAACCTCCTTGATAAAATACCTCCTTGATATTTCTAAGGCAGTATCCTCGAGAGAATGCCCTTCAGACCTAGAAAACTGGGTCCTGGGAAGAAGGCCCACTCAAGATCGCTCACTACAGCCAACAGAATTCTTCGCCTTTATGTATCAACAGTAGAACTAACAGACGACTTGAAGCTACTAACCTGATATATTATAAACGTTTATGCGCCATCCTGTTTTGAAATAAAGAAAATCCTTAGAACAACAAATGAGGCACATCATGTTTATGGAATGATAAAGAGAAGTTCACTCTTACCAGAAAATTTGAAGGTAATTGTTCACGAAGTTATTCATAAGAACTGTTGTTTTGCAAACCCTGAAAATATCCGGGCCCATCAGCGGCCGAGTGGTAAAGCCACTGAACACTGGTAGTTCGGTCCGAGGTTTCAATCCTGCGAACGGGCTGGCTGCATGGGAGTTTTCGTGGCTTTCCCCATGTGTAACATGTATACGAGCCAGTGTCCTTTAGAAAGTCCTCCACGAAGGCATCCCTTCCCTTAGGTAGATAACCCTCGAGGTTTTGCCGTAATCACGTAAACCATACCAAACTGAAAACATCCTCTTGGCGATGCTGGAAGACTGAACAAGCACATATTCGTGAAATTGGCCTGGAAGGGCAAAATACGACAATTTGTGCCTCCCAAATTGAATTTCAAAGCAGAGGAATATTTTGAGATGATTCGCTGGAACAATCCCTTGGAACCACAGGCTAGTTTGAGCCTCAGCGACAAAGACATGAGATTGATTAGATGCGGTTCTTAGTTTGAAATAGGAAAACTTCCTCGCATTCTCAAGTAGTAAAGAGGCTTGTGAGACTGGTTACAAAGGCGTCATCGGCATCACATGCTGCAGAAGCCAGGGTTGGATTCATACGCAGTCGAATCAAGTCTCGGAACGAACTTACGAATTTCTATACCAAGATGAATTTCTTCGGTTCTGTTGTCGAACCTAAATATGGAAAGTGATTAAGCTTAAACTTTTTTATTGCCATATTTTTATCAATTAGAAGTATATGTTGGGTCAGGAAACAATAGTGTTGTAAAAAAGTCATTAAGAAAATATTGTTAAAAAAATTGATGTTTTCATTTTCACAGCATTATTTCATTAAGATTGATTTTTTTTTATCTACCTCATGTGGAACCTGAAGATGACGAGCGACTGAACTGCAAATTTCTCACTATGTTTTTTTCATCGAACAGAATTGTTTATTGGGTCAGGAAATTATAAAATTTGACTTTTTTTTTCATTCCACCTTAGTGCTCGGCCGTAATCAAGCAAATGAAACTCAGCTCCATACGCTAACCTGTTGTCATTCGGTAGAGCGCAAAATAATTTTCAAATTCAATCTGCCTGTTACTGATTAACAAAGCAAGCGATTTAAAAGTCAGAAACGTAAGAATATTTTTTTTTCTACTTTTTAATCTCATCGATTTAAACAATAATGCATTTAAATCATCATATGTCTAATTAGGAAGGCTAAATATTTTTATGAAATTACGCTGGCTGAACTCATTAAAATCTATATTTTTCCGATTTGTTTTAAACTTTTATTAAATTTTAAAAAATGAGAAAAAGCTTTTTGCTAATAATATGCAGAAAGGAATTTGTTGACTATCTATGAACATCATCATTTGGTAACTTCAATATTTAAAAGAATTTCATGTCACTGAAATATGAATCAAAATGTGAAATATGATTGAAATACGTCATTGAAAATCGTAAAGTCGTAAGGCTTCATGATGTTCTCGTGGTTTATATGTACACATGGTGTGCGAATGCAGCTTCTTGATGCATTATAGTAAATAAGATAAAATAAATTCAAGGTTGGGCATATATACCTTCAAATATAAAAATATTTCATGATTATTGCTTTTCAGATGCTTTGTAACGAAATTTCTCTGTATGTTTATTCAGCGTGCTGTTTTCCTTTATTTTAACTAATTTTAACTTATAAAACATTTCTGTGAACTAAGCACCAAGGTCGCACAATTTGGATGGTTGAAAACCTGCAGTTATGGTATGGTTAGGCTATAAAACTGCTTAAAGAAAACGTTCGAATTACTCATCAGATTTTTGTTATGCAGGTATACGTCATCGCTGTTGCATCGCATCATATGAGGTAACTGGAACTTTAGGTGAAATAGAATAAATTATGTTTCAAATTCTTTTTTCGGTAAATATGAAAAAGCAGCGTTATAAAACTCAGAACGCACATCGAAGAGCTCGGCAAAAGAAAATCTGATTGGATAAATTTATATCAACACATGTTTAGATACCGTTATTTTCTTCTGAAGAGAAAAGTGCCTGAAACTTATCATGTAAGTAGACGTTAATTTATGATTTTTCTCTTATAGGTTAGATTAGACACTTAGCTGTAGCAAAGCAGCTGAAAAAAAGCTTATTTGATTTAAAATTTAAAAAAAAAATCTACATTTCCTCATTTATTTTCTGCTATCCCATAATTACCCTGTAGCTTTTTAGAGCCAGATTCTGAAAATATTCGAGATTTTTTCCTTTCCCTGATGCTTTCAAAGAACGAGCTGTCCTAAATTCTAAAAATTCACTTAGTGATTGCTCTCGTCTTCCTAATAAAGACAAACCTTCGCAAATTACCCGCGGAGATCACTCCGAATCTTATCCTTCTAACTGTTGAACTTTATGCTGGCCTATGACAAAAGCACACTGATCGCAGCAAAGTAAAGACAAACTGACGGTCTGTCTACGATTTCGCCGAATCGATTGCACATTCGCCATCTCTAATTTATGGATGATTTGAGGCCTAAGTTGTAGCCGGAGTCAATAATAAGATCGCGCGAGATTGAAGTTACTTGGAAGTAGGAATAAAGATATTTTGTTAGATATTTAATGTTAATATTGCTACGTATTATTGAAATTTGGGTTCTTTTAAGGAAATAATATTGTGATAGTTACCTGCAGTTTATTCATGAGTACTTTTCATTTGTTGTGTTCTGACTGCAACCCCGTCCTTCATAAGTTAGTAATTCGCATAATATTCCCTTCTCAATTTTGGGACGATAAAAATTAGTAAAATCTTAAGTGTACACCATATGAGTTCCATGCATGGCATACTAAATTATACACATTTTTTGCTACATTTAATTTAAACTTATTCCTCGAATTATTCTAACTTAATTAAACGATTACTAGAGAAAAGTTGAAAATGACATAAAAAATTTCAAATTTTGAAATTAAATATACCGGTCAATTTTGTCTTACGGAACTTATATTTTACCTTTTCATAACGATTATTCTATTTTGCTGAATATAAGTAAGCAGCAGATGTTTAATTATGCCGAATTATACGCAGCACATAGGAACCGGGAGACCGCATTAAAAGTTAGATTTCCCAAAATTATTATTTTTTAATTTGCCAGTGCCAAAACATGAATATTTTCATCATTTGAAACGCTTCTATAATTGGAAGATTGCGAAAATAAAGGCCAGGAAAGAGTGTGTGTATATATATATATAAACCAATAATTCATATAATATATGAAATATATATAATAAGAAATAAGAATTCATAATAATATATAATAAGAAACTTTCCATATACCATCTCCAAGAAACACAAATTAAAATTTAAAACCGTCAATAAAAAAATTTTTTGAATTTAAATTAGTATTTTAAATATTTTCAACTTCTTGTTTAAAATCTGCTAAAAATATCTTTAATCGCAAAATACTAAACCAAAAGTAAATTTTAAATATTGAGAAAGTAGCTTTTTAATTTACTTTTAATTAATTATTTTGAATATATATATATATATATATATATGTAAGAAATTTGGAACTAATATTTTCACAAAGACCAGAAATTGAAATTCATAATTAATAAATTTCAACTAATCATATAAATGCAACAAAGAATTTTAAAATGGTATAACCAAAACATTTCAAACAAGCAAAATCCCACTTCAAAACATTTATGCAATTTAATAAAAAAATGAACAAAAAGAGAAGAGGAATTCAATCAGCCTCAGTGTCACTTCATGAGGGGGTAGGAACTTTTAAATTAATTGAAATCTCTCTTCTACAAAAATCCATGCTTATCCAGAATTAGCCAATGAACCATTTCAATGTATTTTAATTATAATTATAATAGTTCACCCTAAAATTCTGACCCTGAAATTTTTTTCCAGGTTTTCTAAAATTTGGTTTTGTGCTCTTATTTATTAAATTTTTAATATTAATTCTGGCCTTTTAATTGCTAATTTCTAAAGATTCCACGTGTTTGTATTTCTTTTCGATAATTCACCACATTTGGTATTACTTGGTTTTGACTTTTACCCTTGCCTACATGGATGACGAAACACGAATTGAATGATTGAAGAGTTAGGTTTGGAGGCAACTTCTCGTGCCTGCTCAACAATCATTCACTTATGCATTTTTATAATAAATTTTTTAGGATTAAATAATTTTTGAAATTTTATATTTATTAATGGATTTTGATCCTTGCACTTGATTTACATTTGCTTCAGAATTTAAATGATATTGTAGATTAGTTTGCAACAATAACTAATTTTTCATTTATTTGCATTAAATTTCATTTAAATTTACTAACTTTAATTTGCTTTTTACGAACAGAGAATGTTTGTTAAATTCAATATAAGGAAAATTTATCTTTTTTTTGTTGCTGCTATTGTAATTCCGTAAAGAAGCAACTAAAGATGCCATTACGACGATATCGAAAACCTTACAGACAACTAAACGACTTCGAACGTGGTCGTACTGTAGGGTTGCGTGAAGCTGGGTGGTCATACCGGGCAATAGGCCGCCACCTGCAGCGTGCAGACACTGCTGTGCAAAGATATTGGCAGCAACGGTTGCTACATCGAAATTGCCGACGAATTGAAGGCTTTGGAAGGCCAAGGATCACAAATGGGAGGCAAGATAGGATGATTGTTCGCCAGGCCCGAACTTCCTCAACGGTATCATTGTCGACTATTCAGCGCACTACAGCCACGTCTATACCTCTCGTGGTACCGTGCACCATCTCACGGCGCTTGTCTTAGGCGGGGTTATTGTTACAGAGGCTTTAAGACGTTTGCCTTTGACCCCAGAACATCGGCGGAGTCGTCTGGAGTGATGTCGCAGCGGATCATCATGACTGCCATCAGACTGGCATCGTATAGTGTTCAGCGCGATGACTGCCGCTTCCCTCTTGAAGCAGATGACCATCGTGTCTGGAGAGGACGGGGCCAGCGGTCCCAATCAGCCTTTGTTTTACAAAGACATACGGCCATAACCTCTGGTGTGAAAGTGTGCGGCGCTATTTCTTATGACAGCAGAGTCATCCTCCGTACATCTTTAACAGCTCAACGATATGTTGATACCATCCTGCCGCCGGTTGCATTACCCTTCATGGCACGTCATCCTGGGGTCATTTTCCAATAAGATAATGCCAGGCCACATACCGCTCGCATATCTCTGGACTGTCTCCGTGTAGTTGATACTCTTCCTTTGCCAGCAAGGTCACCAAACCTTTCACCAATTGAGCATGTCTGGGACATGGTAAGGCGCCAGATTAGGGCACCACAAAATATCGCAGATCTGGAGCGACAACTGATGAATGCCTGGCAGAATGTCTAGCAGGATGACATTAGGAACCTCTACCACTCCTTGCCTCGATTAATTCAAGCATGCATTGCCGCCAGCGGGCGGTTCTACCAAGTACTAATTTGAACACTTAATGGGTGATTGTGAGCCGTGCACAGGTACTATGACCTTGATTTTTTAATCATTTTATTACCTGTGTATGAGCTATACACATATTCAACTTCATCAAAAACAACCATTTCCTTCATGGTGCTCCGATTATTTTATTCTTTATTTTTTTATTTATTTATTTATTTATTTATTTATTTGCAAAAGAGTGTAATTTAGTTTGCTGATTACTTTTGCCAAATGAATTCTACTTTATAAAAAGTTTTAACTGAAGAGAAAGCGAGGCAGAGGAATTTCCCGACTTGAATGATTGGACTTCCTCGATAGTGACTTTAAAATTACTAAAATTACTACTGTTCTGTCAATAGAAGAAGCCATATTGTGCATCAAATTGTTGAAATTCGGTTGAAAGTAAAAACAAATTGAATGTAAAATTAAAAGACCATTTTACGAATGTTTCCTATTAAAGGGTATTCAGTTCTTTAATAATCCATTTAAATATATTTGAAAACCTCAACAACATACAGAAATGAGTGTCGGACATTTGAAAAATTTCAGCTTAATGTTCACGTTTCCCAATAAATCGAGAATTTGAGACTACTCGAAACTTTTCTTTCCCTTCAATTTTGACTTTTCAAAAGGCCATGTTTTATACGTCATGTGTCATGTTTATGTGACGTCACGTTAATGTGTCATGTTTTATACGGTTTTGCTTTTCACTTTCTTGTTTAGTATTTTATGCTTTGTATTTTTATAAGTTTTATTTTAGTTTAAAGTCAAAAGTTTATCACTAAAAGTTTTCTAACTACTTTCTGATAAGCTGTCGAATACAAAACTTGTACAGTGTTTGTGGATGACATTACAATCTAGTAAAGCGGCTTTTACAAAATTCGATTTAGGGTTGGTTCTTAAAATTTAATGTTGAAACGATTTTTGCACATATTTTCCTTTGACGAATAGACTAAACATCTCAGAAATTTACTGTTTGCGTCACTTGGAAAAAAAAAAAAAAAAAAAAAAAAAAAACTTTGAAATTCCAATGAAAATTTTGACATCATTTAAAATTTTTTTGCGAATTATCGAAATTAGATTGACTATTTTCCGACTATTTGATGTCAATGGTTTTAAAATTTCAGCATTTAAATTTCAGCATTATAAAAAATATCGTTTACAAAATTTAAAAATTTTCACACGATATAAAACAAACTCTTCGCCCTTATTTAAACGAAGGATAATAAAAAAAGAGTATTGATTACATAATTTTATACCCTTTTTAAAAATATGCTACAATGTAGAAAAAGAAAGTGAAATGTTGGTACTCCTAGTTTCAAAGTTATGATGTCATTACGTCACACTACTGTGGAGGCTGCTTATAAATATGATCGCGATTACTATTATTATTCGGCATAATATTATCTTCTTTTATGGGAATTCAAAGTTCTAACATCCAAAAATGTACCTGTTATAGAGACTGAAATTTTTTAGAGTTATGAAACAAACATTTCGCCTTCATTTTAAAAAACAATATTAATAACAATAATAAATATTAATTAAGCAACTTTCTAGATTGTTTTTTAAAACTAGCCATGTTTGTAGCCTAAAGGGCAATTTCCTCAGAAGGGCTATTAATTTTGTTTTAGCATTTTGCGCCGTTTTAGCATTTTGCGTTTCACTTTTCAAATTGTTGATACCAAATATTAGAGCCCTGCATTATATTTAAAGAAATTAAATAATGAAGAATCTGCATGAATGTATGTACCTTTCTGGCATTGTGAAAAAACAACGGTGCCTAGAGACATCAAATTTTGAATAAAAAACTTTGTCCTCCACTCGAATATGGGCATCTGGAAGCCCAAATTTGGAATTTGTTTTATCTATTTCGTATTTTGTAAAACTTTAACAAATTTTTGATTAACAAACTCAACAATTTCAAAGCGAGTAATGGGAACACTGTACCAAGAAAAGAGTTTTTATCTCCAGCGCGCGAGACTGTGTTCTAATAATATGCTGTTTTTAAATATTTTGTGATATTGCTGTTGAATTGAATTTTATGGTTTAAGCGCAAAGAACATGATATTTAATAAATAAAGGTAACATACATTAACGTTAAAAAACGCCACTTTGGGTGCAATATAAAATTTGAAAGTTTTCATATTTTTTATTATTTCATATTTTGTCGCTCAGGGTTTTTGCGACGATGGACAAAACTTCGCCATCCGTGTTTAAACTATTTTCTGACAACCTATCGAACTTAAATTTTGCACTCGTAATCGTTGTAGATGACAATACAATGTGGGCAGGAATCTTTACGAAATTTGATTTAGAATTTTTAAAATTCGATATTGAAACGATTTCTAGCACATATGTTCGTTTAATCAACAAACCGAAACTTTCAGAATTTTACCGCTTGTGCCATCGTATAGAGCGGAAAAAATCTTTTAGATAAAGTTTATACGAGCTTTTAACATAATTTCGGATTTCTTTATCAGAAGTGCTGGATTTTTTTTTTTTTTTTTTTTTTTTTTTTTTTTTTTGAAGTAACAGAATTAATTATTGGGAAAAAAGAGAGATTTTTCATTGATGAAAAATGATTTTTAAATTGACAAATGGGATTGATAACATGTCATTGATACTAAAAATATGAAAATTTAAAAAAAATTGAAAAATACACTTTTATTTAAAAATCTTTAATGAACTAAAAGGAGAAAAATAATTTATTGCATTGTTTCAAGTGAACAAGTGATTAATAATTCTTTTACGAAATTCATCTACAATTTTATATTACTAATGATAAAAGCGTGCAAGTCTAAATAAAGAAATCGAATACATTTTTAGTAAATAGAAATCACTACCTTTAATTAAGGGCGCATCTACATGTGCAAGTTACAAAAAGTAATTGAAAAATTTCGGACATTATTTCTGTTACATATTATTTATGTATAAAAATTGTTTATGTATGCTTTTGGTTACACTTATATTCAGAATAATATTGCTCAGCTTCGAATTCTTTTACATTATATTACCATTGCTTCGAAATGAATTTTTAACTTGAAACAGCTAATTTTTTTCGAAATATTCTTGTAAATTTCTTTCTTATTTGTGATTTATAACGATATTTTTCAACTGTTTCAATTCAGATGGCAAATCAACAATTTGCAGATGAAGAACACGCACAAATATATCGAGTTTACCGACCAGATTGCCCCCAAGAAGTGGCTGATCTGATAATCTCATATCTCAAGGAAAAGGTAAACATTTGTTCATTAGAATGAAAAAAAAAAAAAAAAAAATTGTCGTTAAATATACTTTTAAGAGTAGTTTTGATACTAGAAGTGTTTAGCACGGAGTCTTTCCAAAATTTGTGGACCTTTATGTAACACTACCATACATCAATCACCCTTGTATTTTGGAAAGAGTGGCAAACAGAATGCATTCACTTTCACGAGGGAAAAAGCGTGCACAGATACATAATGTCTTCGTTTCCTTTTCCTGTTTTAAAAGCAGTTGCATTTGTAAACTTGTAGCAAAAAAAAAAAAAAAAAAAAAGGTGAGAAAAATAAATATTGGTGTTTTAAATGTGTCGTCTCAGTTTTATGCACCTGGTAATTTTTCCTTTAGCAACAGGAAGTATTGGCATTCCACGAATCACAAAGTCTTTGATTTACCACTCGGCCTCGTTCATACACGGCTTTCAAACTATTGCCATTCGATAAAGAATAAGATCTTTAATTTTCTTCTAAATGCAATCACTCCATAAATGTTCAACAAACTTAGCGATTTAAAAGCAGTATACATACGTATATCTTGATTATTTACATTTTTAGCATAATTTTTGGCATATATCTATATATATATATTATTGATACGAGTCAAAATGCTCAATTCACAATATATGCAACTAATAACGATGGAAATTTGCAGCATCGATCAAATTAATAGCAGTTGTTTATAACAACTATAAAGTATAAGTTAACAAAATGTGAAACGACTTGCCTTTTGAGAATTACAATGTAGAAAATCAAGTTCACTTCAAGCCAAAGGGAGGCATAGTGTGTTAGCGTCGAGTTAACGCATTGTAAAATTTAAAGATTTAATAAAGGATACTTTTAACCCTTTTTCTGTGTAATTCCTACCAGAATTTTCTGCACGTACGATTCTTACTTAGAAGTTAAACAAGAAGACCCTACAAACTAAACAGCTAAATAAAAGGCTGACCGCTATCCCTCTTTGAAATTATGAAATCCTCCTTCCCAAGAGGGAATCCTCTTCTGGTTGAAAATCTCTGACATAGATTCTGCATTAATCACTAATAATGACGAACTGCTTTAAACTTAAGAAGATTTGTTAGAGATCATGGAATTTCAAGTGGGGAAACTCTCTCAGGCAGCATCGACGGTACGTTGATGGCATAATGGTACTGAAAAGTGAATATCCTATAGACTAGAGTTTTCCAGCATCTAAGCAAACTCCAGTTTAAAGTTGAACTTTGCTTAATTTTCGCATGCCTAGCAAAATATTTAAATGGCGGCATGCAGCCTTTTGGTATTTCCTAGCAATCCTTCAATTTACGTATAAGTATTAAAAACACTGTTAAAAAATAAAATTAAAAAGAAAACAAATCCGAATATTGAGATTTTTATTTAGGGCTGCACTGTCGCCCTTTGTTTATTGTGTTTTGGCCACTGAAGAATATTTCAGTATTTACTCTACAATTTAAAATATGAATGTTGTCTATCTGAGTAATATTAGGTATTTATCACTCTAAAATGCTTTTTGATAGTTCGAGGGTCCGCTTGAGACAGCTGTCGATGTCGGATGCGGTTCAGGACAAAGCACCACTATTCTTGCTCCCTTTTTCAAACACGTGCATGGATTGGATGTCAGTGAGATGCAGATAAAGCAAGCTAAGAAAAATCTTGTGCTTACAAACATCACTTATAAGTAAGAATGACATAATTTTGCAATTTTTTCACTCATTTACATGAGCGGATTTAAAGAAGTATACTTAGTTGCTAAAATTCCATTTCTGTGTTGAAGATAATGCTTCATTCTCTCTGGGAACTGAAGAAACTCAAAACTCTAGGAAGCAGAAAACCACAGAGGGTGTTTATGCAATTTTAGAACGATTTCGAGACCATTTAATTAAAGTTTAAAATGTAAAGAATGTTTCTTTAAATTTTCGATCTGATAGCTTTTTTTCTGGGTTATAAGTTTGCACCATATTTTCCATCCTAGAAAGGTTTTTCGTAAAATTTCCACGGGTATTGATTTTCATTCCTCTTCCACTACTATCCAGAGTCCATCCATCATGGTGGTTTTTGTGCTTAGAAAGAATTCTATCCAAGAGACCAAAGGCACATTGTGCCTGGCACAGACATGTTATTGTCACTACGCTGAAAGATATTTATGCAATATCTATATCAATCTTCACTTTTTCAAGAAATGAAGTATTTTCGAAGTATGAGTTGTTGCTTTGTCTTGATGAAGTTTCATTTTTTGTCATTAAGATTAAAAAGATTAAAAAAAATCAGTCATTAAGATTAAAAAAAATGGAAGTCATTAAGATTTTAAAAAAATGGAATTTCTTCTGCAAATATTGGACCTAAAAACTTTCTTTTGATAGCACATTGAGTTGATTTTAAGATTTTTACCCCGCTTCTTATTTTTAATTACCCATTGTAAAGAGAATGCTGAGACAATTAAAACCCTTTTACTGAAATTTTCTTTGCATTGACGGAGCCAGATCTGTACACCCTCTTCGTTTTCGATAATAAAAGGTTTTTTTTTTTTTTTTTTTTTTTTTTTTTTTTTTTTTTAGTCAGTCATTTAGATAAATCCATGCTTCATCGAGGGTTACAATGTGTTTCTATTTATCTCCTGCTAAATATGTAATTTTTATACAGGATTCTAGAAATTGTTTACCGTTGAACCACGTGCCTCAGCAAAAGCTGATGAACATTTTATGTTTTTGTTTATTGGTTTATCTAAAAATTTACTTTTTTGAAACTCTTAGTTGAAATCGTTCTAAAAATGTGTAAACACCTTCTGTAGGATGTCAGAATTGAAATATCAGTTTAGGATTGCAGTAGCTCACATTTGTTTTCCGACACTTGTATTTTTGGCATTTATTTGTGTAGATCTTATGCTAAATATTGAAGCAGAGACTCAAAATAGTTTTCTAATATATTGCATTTCTTATAATGAATATTTTTTTTCAAAACAAACAGCTTTTGAAAAAAATTATCAATGGTACACGTGGAAAAAAAACCGTTGTTTAGCTAGTATTTAGTAACCGATATTTGCAAATAAAACTGGTGCACAGTGTCCGAAAACAAATGTGACCCACAGTTAAAAAATTGTGAACTGTTTTCTATATTCAAATTCTAGTTAATGTACAAAATAACTTTTAGTTAGTTAGGTTAGAACAGTTTATTTATAAATTAGGATTAATATTTAGGTTAGAATTCAAACCCTTTAACTCTTGCATACTCTTCATATATTTTTTTTTTTTTTTTTCGAAAATCAAAGATTTTCTTATTGTTTCATTTTATTATTCACAAAATTCTAAACCAAATTATGTAATTAGCAGCATAATTTTCGCGAAATTATTATTATTATTTTTGCGATATAAAATTATCTAAAACTTACGCATTCTTTTCCTCATTTGTGGTTTCTTTCAAAAGCAGAAGTTTGGCAGGATAGCTGTAATGCATGCATTTGTATTATAAAACTATGCAAATATTTAAATAATTTATACTACCACTCTGTAAAATGGTAATTTTGTTCACATAAAATTGCCCACTGACTCATTAATTACTATGTTTTCAAAATTTGGGAATTTTTGTTCTTAATCTTTCTTTAATTTGGTAACCCTTCAAAGTTTTATAATTTGGTGTTCGGTAAATCTTGAAACAGTTATGCATACTTCAGCATTGCAGTTTTGTATATATATATATATATCTATAATATAGAAATAAAAAAAATAAAAAGAAAAGAAAAGAAAAAGAAAATCTGCAGAACAATTACACTCAAATCTCTCTGCGCTAGAACCATCTTTTTCAATAAAACTACTTCTTATTTCACAAAAAAAAAACAGGCAAGGAAAAAAAAAAAAGGCGCATAAAACACTTGTTTCGTCTTAAGTTCTAGAACAGCGGCTCTCATTATTTTTTCCATGTACCTATTTTATCTTTGCTAAAAGTTCTTTCTCCCCCCCCCCTTTATAAAACTCGAAAAATACATACACATTTATTTAGATTTAGATCATTTGGTAATGTCTTTTTATAAATTAAACAACAAAATTGTAGAAAAAGTTGATAACTATCAAGCCATTTTTAGTATAAGATTAAAGTTAGAAGACTTGTGCTCCCATCTGTTGACCATATCTGTATCTAAATTAGTTAGGAATATAATAAAAATTAATAGTAGAAGAATTTTTCCCGATTCATTTCATGACAAACAAAGTTCCGAAATCGTACGGACTCGGCAAAAAACATTCGGAATACCTACCCTGATATCTGCCGTGTATGATGATAAAGGTGTTAAAATTAATCAAGCGAAAAAATTGGATGACTAAATGCGACCCGGTAAACGAGCTGTCTGCTTAAAAGTTTTTGAGGGTACGAGTTTCTCTTAGGGGCCGCCCTGACGGTAGAGTGGTTAGGGGTGCCGACTGCGACACCAAAGGGCCCGAGTTCGAATCCCGGCGAAGGGATGGTTGTAAAAGTCCGTCCCTTCATAAGAGGCAAAGGTGGCGCACCTATTAGGTGCCTCCATAATAAAGTGAGCACCGCTTCTGACCTTAGTACTGGCCAGTGTCTATGATGATGACTTGTGCTCGACACTGGGGGGGGGGGAAGAGTTTGTCTGAGTTGTTCCGGAAAGATCCTTCTCTTCAATCAGATAACTATAGCAGTGTGTTCTGCTGCATCCCCATAAAGAAACAAAGGATTGTTTCCTAATACAAAATTACGTGACGTAATTTTAAATTCAAAATTACACACCTAATACAAAATTACGTGACGTATTTATTAGTAAAATAGCATGCCGCATTCATTTAACTTGCAAAAATTACTTATTTATGTGCATTGTCACTTTCTTTGGAAGTATAAACTAACTTTAGAATGAAGCTGTCTGAGTTGTTCCGGAAAGATCCTTCTCTTCAATCAGATAACTATAGCAGTGTGTTCTGCTGCAACCCCATAAAGAAACAAAGGATTGTTTCCTAATACAAAATTACGTGACGTAATTTTAAATTCAAAATTATTTGCGAGATGCTGAATGCATATTTATTAGTAAAATAGCATGCCGCATTCATTTAACTTGCAAAAATTACTTATTTATGTGCATTGTCACTTTCTTTGGAAGTATAAACTAACTTTACAATGAAGCTGAAGATAAGCGACTTATCATTAGATTCAGTACAAAGACAGAGAGACAAGAAAAGTAAAAGAGCTTTTTATTAAAAATTCAGAACTTAACAGAAGGCACCTCTTGTGCTTACAAAACCAACCAGCACTAAGAGCATAAAACAAAAGTAATTAATTCAAACTTAACACTTTACCGACGGAGAGCCTATTAATCGGCTTTTTTTCGCCAACGCCTACCGAGCGATCGCCTAATAATCAGCTTTTTTTCTCCAAGGCATACCGACTATCATGGAGGTAGGAAGTAAGATGGAGTCGCCCTAAACAAGTTTCTCCGTACCCTGCTCTGAAGCACCGGCGATCCCTACGTGGTGACCAAAACATTGGGTCATTTACCATTGAGTTCTATGGGATTTGATGCGTTCGGGTGTAAATATTTTGTAATTACGTCGCAAATATACATATAAATGTATATATTTTCTTTTTCTACAACACTTCAGAGTCCTAAGTATGTGAAAACAACATATTTTTAAACAACACATTCATTCTGAACGGAATTAAATGCTATATTTTTCACAGGACAGTTTTCTCAGAATGGTTTAATTTGAATGAATATTTTCACAAGTTTTCGTTAATTACATTAGGAAAAAAAATAAGGTAATTCGATTTTATTCGGTTAAGATACAAAAATTAAGATCAAAGTTTATTGTATTATTAATATTAAAATTATGCATTATTTCTTTTCTATTTATAGAGCTTCCTAAAATACTTTCTTAAATATGACATGATTTTTTCGCTTTTTTTAAATCGAAAAATGTAAGTCAATTTATAATTAATGCTCTTTTCGGTTCATTTTAAATTAGAGAATTATTAGGAATTAGCGAAATACTTTAAATAAGTATTTCGCTAATTCCTAATAATTAAATAGGTATTAAATAGTATTTGACTTTCTCTGAACATTTCTGAAAGGGAATAAAATAAGTTTTTTTTTTTAAAGTATTATTTAAAACTTGTAACTGAGTTATTTATAAATGTAAAGGGAATAATTCTTTTAATTATACTTATCAGATTTTTTTTTTACCCTTCATTTCAACAATACATATTCCAAAACTCTTTATTACGTTCTTAAGTGCGCATCTCATAGCATTTGCTTTACAATACCTTTTAACAGATTGCTTTCCAATACGAAGAATTCTTGCTTAAATAGTTTTATAACGTATTTGTCAACAGGATTTCAATTTATGTTTACAATTCAATATTAAGGTTATTATATATTTAGATAACATTTATAATCATTATAAATTAGATACATTTAATCATTAGATTTCTTCACAGTACTTTCACAGTGGTTTATAAGTGAATAAATTCTTCATTTCAAATACATTTATAAATAATTTAATGAATATTTAAGTATTTTGTCAAACGCAGATACATGTTTTTTGCAAGCACATGCATAAATACCTATACATATTTCCTATTTATCATTTCCGGCATGTGCAAATCTTTAATTTCTGTGCATTCACTATATTTTTCGTGTAAAGTAATTTACACTAATTTAGCATACACCCGAAAGTTTGACATAAAAAATATATGAGTATAATTTGAATGAAATTATAAGTATTATTTTTAATACCCACTCAAAGGTCAGTTTTTCTTCAAAATTCCTCCACGATGGCATCTCTCTCTTTAGGCAGATAGCCCTTGCATGCGTTACTCTATTTAATAAAAACTAATCTGACCAATGTGCCTAATTACAAATATTTTAACATACATAATTTTATATTTACATTTAGCCATCAAGTTTCAAACTTTTCAAATATTCTAGAAAATAAATTTTGGCAGATCTCTTTTAGCAATTTTCTTAAAATCTATATTTTTGTAGTGCAACTGCTTAGAATTTTATAAAACAAATTCATAATCAAAATCGCTGTTGTTAGTTACCGAAAAATAACCAAGATGTGATTTTTGCGTAAATGTCAGTAAACTATACAAATTGATATTATCCATCACACTATGAATGTTTCTTTCATGCGAAAGTGTCCCTTTTTCGATTTCTATGGAACTGTCGTGTGTCGAAATACTATCAGAATCTTGTCAAGCGAGCTTCTGAATGTAAACAAAGAACACCCCGTCTGGTGACCCAGCCTTCAAAGCAGTGCTTCACTTCTAGCGCGGAATGGCCCCTCCTCCCTTTCCTACCTCCATGCCGACTATAGCCTATTAATCGGCTTTTTTTCTCCAACGGCTACCGACTGATAGCCTATTTAATCGCTTTTTTCTCGGGGCTACCTAAAAATAGCCTATCAATCGGTAGCCTTGGAGATAAACAATTGCCATTTGATATATCATGTGCATTTTATTATTAGTATTGAGGTACATTGCTCACTTGCGTTAAGTGCATTGCTTCGTAAACTCCCACATTTTCACACTGTTTTTAAAAAAATTACCGTTCACGATGAGCGAAAAAATGGTACTGGAGAGTTTTATTTAGACGATTTATCAGATTGTCCTGACAATGATTCAGAACAAGAAGAATCTGCGGCTGAGCTGCCGGTCGGATGGGCGTATGCTGTTGAGCCGCTAACGGTCGTAAAGTGTTAAACTCAGTTGAATCGAAGTTAGCCAAAGGCTTCACAGAATGAATGACGCGTAAATTGGCTCAATGGCAAGAATAACGTCAAAAATAAGCACAACGCCGCAGACAGATTTCAATTAGTCACGTGGCCTTCAGCAGATGGAACACGCTCTGTTTCAGCAATCTAAAACTTTCCTTTAAATGTTATGTTTTTCTACCTCATTCGAATACGCGAGAACTTAAATTTGCATTCTGGCTGGAAAACGAAGAGTTTCAAATAGTAACGTGGCCTTCAACAGGTGGAACACGTTCTGATTCAACAATCTAAAACTTTCCTTTAAATATTATCTTTTTCTACCTCATTTGAACACTTGAGAACTGCATTCTGGTAGGAAAATGGAAGACGAGAATGAAAGTAAAGATTTCTGAACGTAAAATAACTGGTTAGAAAAATAAATAAATCCTTACAACGTATTTTAAAATATGTTTCATCGAGTTTTGAGAAAGATCGATCGAAAATTTTTTCACCTCTTCACTTCACTTCCTTTTATGTACACTATCGTCTATTTCTGTCGCGCACTATCAGCTTACGCGACCAGCCGTCTAAAATGATTATTATAAAAAAGAAAAAATGTATAATGATTTTGATGAAATCCAGTTAATGTAATCAAGGAAATATCAAATATCTTAAGCTTTCCTGAACGATAACACATTGCCGCGAAGAAGACATAATTGTTTTAAACACGCATTTGTTTTAAATCGCCAAGTTTGTTGATTAAATCCGAAAGATAAATATATTGTGTTTTGCCGAATGGCAGAATACTTGTATCGCTGAGTTTTCTGACTGAATTTTCCGTTTAACACATAAAAACTTATGCTTTGGCGAGCTTTTAAACCCCTGAGTTGTTCAATCAAAATGTCATTAAATTTGACCAGAATCGGAAATAAATCCAAAAATTTTAAAAGTAAAATAAATAAGAGAAAGAGATGTGCTGTTACTGTGCTGACGCATTGCGGAGTGCCAACACATTTCTTTCAAATCACTGGATTTTCTGATTAAATTTTAAAACATAAATATCTTACACGTTCCGGAGAGTGGCAACACATTCCTTTCGAATCACCTAGTAAGTTAATACAGAAGCCAATACATTTGCACAAAATGCAAAATAAATAAGAAACAATTTGAAAATCAAACTTCGGACTTCAAGGTATACATGTTCGATTGAAGGAACACGCGAATTCAAAATTGTGTGACTCTGGGTGCCGTCTTTTTTCCCCAATATGAGGAACATACAAACATATACAGTCAAAAGTCGTTAATTCGGACACCCATAATTCGGAATGATCTATAATCCGGACCTCAATACTAAAAACTTTCTGCGCATGCGCCGTGTTGACACATGCGCATAGGCGTTTACTCGTGCGCGTAAGACCTTTTACGACTGCGCATGTGAGTGGGCGCAAGTGCAGAATACGTTTTCGCGTGCGCGTTTTATGTATAATGGACGTATAAGCTAAAATTATATAATTATCTATTTCAGTTAATGTTGATGATTGCATTGTTCCTTAATTTTCGAATTGGTTCCGGCTTATTATTTTTTGCAGACTGTAAGAGCAATTTTATAAAAGTAAGTTTAAACTTTCGATTATATCAAATAGAATTTCCGATATATATTTGTTAATATGTAAAGGATCTAAAGCGAAAGTATGTTTTGAAATCCGAAATCTGTTTATGAATTTCACGTAGCTCGTCGGGGGGAACGCAGCGGCGGGCCGCGTAATGAATTGGAAGTTGATCTGTCAGCACTATCCTTATCTTCAGCGCAGATGTTTTTATTTTATTTGGCTTATAATTCCTTACCAAATGTAGTATTTCATCTCGATATGCTCCCTCTTTGATATGATTTAAAACAAGTTCCTCGTCATTATAATTCGCTTCCGATACCGAAGAAAAGTGACAGAGGTTATTGAAAACGAAAAAATTTCGATTGACAAATTAGTCGTGTTCTCGACACAGCAATTATAGGACTTGAACAGCGGAACTTTGTAACTGAACAAGAAATTATGTCCTGTTTCAATAGAATTAAAGAGAAAGTATTATCACATGAAAACGAAGCAAACTTAAACAACTTACATTGAAAGAAATGTTTAATAAAGTAAACAAATAAATATTAAGCTTTTTCTTTTTACAAATTTTGATACCCTTTAGGTCATAATTGTTCTTTATTTCATAAATTACGGTTTCATATTTTTAATTTTAGAATTTCTGCATGCCATCTTACGAGATTTAAACTGATGATCTATAATCCGGAAAAATCGATAATCCGGAATCGCCGAAGTCCCGACGAGTCCGGATTAACGACTTTTGACTGTATACAGATTCGTCGTTATTATTATAATAGAGACAATCGTCTCCACGTTTTTCTAACAGTGCCTTATCCAGTGCGAACAAAAAGATACAAATGCAATAGCCCGAAGCAGGCACTTTCCCCTACTGCCGGTTATTGAAAAATATGGATAGTTAAGCCTGATTCTTTTGCTGTTCAAAAACGACGAACACTAAAACAACAACAAAAGCAAAATTAAAAAAAAAAAAAAAAAGTCGGAAAGGTTTCAGATTTTAAATTACATCCACATCGCTTTGTGTGTTTCCTTTTATTTATTAAATAACACTTTCTTTGCACTTAAACCATGAAATTCAGTTCAATGGCAATGTCGCAAAATAATTTTAAAATGAGCCTATCTTTAGGATTTCCGATGCACAGTTCCGCGCGCTGAATATAAAAAGATTCCTCCCCCCGTAGAGTGCTGCTTTTGCTCGCTTTTAAATCGTTGATTCCGTTACTCAGAAATTCGTTAAAGTTTTACAAAATATGAAATCAATCATAAAACAAATTCCAAATTTCAAATTTGATCTTCCCAATATTCGTAGGAGGACCATATTCGTAGGAGGATTACGTCATTCAAAATTCGATGGCTCTATGCACCGTTGTTTTATCACAATGCGAGAAATATACATACATTTATGCAGATTTTTCATTATTTAATTTCTTAATACATAACACAAACATAATGCAGGACTCTAACATTTTATGGCAACAGTTTGAAAAGTGAAACGAGCATTTATAGTGATTCAGACAGTTTGAAATTTGTTTGCGAGTTGAGTATTAGCCATGCGGACTGGAGATAATGGCGTTCGCCAAAGTCCTCATCTCCTTTTTTCTTGCTTAAAAGCAAGATTGCTAAAGATAGTGATTCAACGCAAAAACGCAAAACGAAAACAATAGTCCTTCAGGGACAAAGCTCCTTTGAACTAAAAAAAAGTAAAAGAAAGACAAGTGCTTCGTATTGATTATTTATTGATAGGTATTGTTTTCCGTTTCCGCTTCTTTCTAAGTTATAAACATCTACAGTTTATGTTACCTTAATTTCAGGGTAAGTCCCGCTGAAATTTTGCCATTTGAAACTGGATCCGTTCAGTTGGTGACAGCAGGAGCCTGCTTGCACTGGTTTCAGAGAGACATCTTTTTCCCAGAGGTGCGACGAGTTTTATCAAACAACGGTGTTTTCGCTGCGTACACCAACCACAGCTTACGACCACTGGTGGTAGATCCAGTTCAAGCTGCAGAAGTCGATCGTTTATTTTATAAGGTAAAAAAAAAAATAACTTTCAGATTTTATATTACGCCCAAAGGGACGTTTTTTAACGGTTTTGTGTGTTACTTATTAAATATCGTGTTCTTTGCACTTGAACCATAAAATTCAACTGACCAGCAATATCGCAGAATATTTAAAAGAGCATATCTTTAGAATTTCCGATACACAATAAGTCTCGCACGCTGGAGATAATTTTTTTTTTTTTTTTTCCCATACAGTGCTGCCATTGCTCGCTTTGAAATCGTTGAGCTTGTTAATCAAAAGATCTTTAATGTTTGATAAAATATGAAATAGGTAATAAAACAAATTCCAGATTCCAAATTTGGGCTTCCAGATGCCCATATTCGAATGAAGGATTACGTTATTCAAAATTTGGCATCTTTAGATCCCGTTATTTTTTCACAGCGCGAGAAACATACATACATTCATGCAAATTCTTCGTTATTTAATTTCTTTAAATATAATATAGGGCTGTAATATTTGGTGGCAACAATTTGAAAAGTGAACCGGCATTTATAGTTAACAGACGCAAAATGCCAAAACGAAATTAATAGCCCTTCTGGGCAAATGGCCCCTTGGTGCTAAAAATTGCCATTTTTGTTAATTCTCTGCAACTGCAGCAATTATGTACAGTAGGTCGTTCTTACTTTATGAAAACAATTTTTGTAATTGATTTTTATGAATAAAGTGACCACATTTTCATTGAGACAAAGCGGAACAAATGAAATGAAATGAGAATTGTAATTTAGTTATAAAAGCAGACCAATATTTCAAAAAAATATTTTATTGTATACATTCATACTTACCTATAAATATACAAAAATATTTATTATAACTATTGGTAACTATAAAAATATTTGTAAATCTATCATTTGAATATTATGTTTTTTAATTATTTAAAATTTTATTTAAAAAATTATGATTTTCTTTCACGGTCATATTTTTATCCGAGTGAATACTTTTGCAATAGATTCGGATCATTTACAAAATGTCGTGAAATTTCTCACAGAATTGGTCCATTATATTTTACCTTAATCAGATTTAAAGTTTTAATGTTCAACTTTTTTTCAATGTCCATATTTATTGGACTAAAAAACACGTTCTTTGCTACATTGTTGTGAGAGCCAAATTAATGTGTCATTTTCAAAAAAGGTGCAGTATTTTTGGCATTTATCTTATGATAAAAGTAACTTTATGGTTCGTATTTTAATTTTTTTCTACGCTGGTAAAAGAGCTGCCATCGTGTTTGCTGTACATATTCTTTATGTTCGATTTCTCGCTTCACAAAATCTTCAAACTTTCAACACGCACGTTTTATTAAAAACGATAAATTTTGCAATATTTTCAGATCCACTGAAGTAAGTCAGATCGGTTGAACAGTCTGTAAATGTCGATGTACAACCTACTTCAATAATTTTTTGGTTCAAATGTTCGTTAAGTTCGTACAATGTTATTGATGCCTCTGCTAGCTTTCACAAAATTGCGTTAGTGTTCCCACATTGGCAATAATTTTATATTCAATTATCTTTTCAAATAGTACTTATTGATTAAAATTATTTATGAAGTTCACCCGACAATGAAATAAAATCTAATATTAATTTATTCCTGTTCTGGATCAAATTCTAAAATTGTGGGAAATAATTTTAATCTTTGTGTTGGAAGTATCACTATGGATAAAATGGCATTATTAATTCTTTGCAATAAAGAAATATTCAGACATTACAACTTTGCTTGGATTTTTGTCCTTGCAATGTAATTTTTGTCGTACCTGTTTTGATCATTGCGACGTAAATCAATTGTCTGAACTTATTGTGTTTGTGGTGTGGAAAGCAAATAGCTCTTCAGCTATTCTACTGTTCCTCCGTACACTATATTCCTTGACGAGACGTAACGACAATGATCGAACACCACCGAGTAAATCTAACTCATTACATCGCCTAATTTAGTTTACTCTGCATGCATTTTATGTGTTATCCTCCAAAAAGCGGAACTGTCCCACCAAAATCGTGACGTGTGGTCACTTTAAATAAAGGGCGTATTCTTGCGCGATTTGCTTCTGCTTGATACCCTTAATTCTTGGCTATAGCTTAAATTTTCAACGAAAAATTTTTTCTTAACATAGTCATGGCAATTTTATCCCACTCCTTTTGGGTCGTTTCCGTTCAGTGTTCTTGAATGCGGCTTTCTTACAGATGGTTTTAAAAAACTGAAAGTTCAAAAGTGCATAGCAGTCCAGGTGATTTTGTATGCATTTCATTAAATGGGGTGCATTTTATTCCTGTTTTTTTTCCCCTTCTTTTTTGGGGAGGGGGACAGATAAGCGACAGTTGACTAAGACGTGTGACTAGAGGCTTCTTCCATATTAAGCTCAACTTGCATATTTCTGAAGGCTGGAATATTCTGCTGTTTAGCCTTATTTGAAACTTTTCTGAGTTTTAATTTACCGTTGTAATAAAATCCTGCAACTATTATGAACCTTTTTGAAATTTTACTGTACATTGACTAAGCTAT